CTGGCTGGCTGGCTGGCTGGCTGGATGGATGGATGGTTTCAAAATAAAGGATTTACCACATTTACTGAACCACTTTTGCAAATCTTTTTTCATGAATGATGACCGTTTCCTGTCAAACAGCCCAGGTGCGTCTAATGAGACACCTTGCGTTAGGTGTTGCAGCGGAAAAAAATTCTTTTCATTTGTTGCACTTTATGTGGTGCGCGCTTGTGTGAATGAAAAAAGTCGCTATTGAAAATATATCTCATCTTTTGTCAATTAGTTTACAATTTCGTGAATAAATAAAGACAAAAAAAATTAAGTAATAAATGAAAGATGGAAGTTTTGTCATGCGCACTAAGCTGCACAATTTATATGTTTGTTGGAAAGATGCCAAATACTCTCGGAAAAGCAACAAAAACAAAAACAACGGCAACAACTACTACTTCCACAGCTGATGATGATGATGATGATAATGACGACGAAAATAATGATGACAACGACGACGACGACGACGATGATGATGATAATGATGGTGATGATTTACATGTTGGTAATGGTGGTGATAATGATGATGATGATGATGATGGTGATGGTGATGGTGATGGTGATGGTGATGATGATGATGATGATGGTGATGGTGATGGTGATGATGATGATGATAATGATGAAGATGATGATAATAATAATGATGATGATGATACCACCATCACCACAATGTGGTAACAGTAAATAAAAATGAGAAAAGCTAATTAGGACTATATAAACACCAAAATACTAATAGCCATGCATGTGTCAAACAAAATGCCGACAACAACAACAACAACAACAACAACAACAACAACATGAAAAAGCCTAGCAAGACGCAAACAAGGACAATTGGAAAAATGGAAAATTATAAAAATAATCAAAAATACATATTAAAAAAATCAATATGACAAAAGGGCTGCGGAGCTAGCACAAAATGACAGCAACAGCAACATCAACAAAAAGAACATCGGCAGCAGCAGCAGCAGTAACAAGAGCAGTTATAACCATGACTACGCGGGTAACAAGTATCATTGAAAGCAAGACCAAACAAGACTTGGTAATGAATGAGGTTTTTAACATACAATTATTACAAGACCCTGGCATTCAAGAAGTACAAATGTATCGACCTGAATTATCTGACTTTGGTAGCGCATCTTCTTATTTGCACCAAGATGTTTATTAGCATGAATATACAAACACACCAAAGAACACAAACATTGAGCAACATTGCACAAACACGCTTATCTTGACACAATGTACGTCCCAGTTTTGTTCGCCTCCATCATTAAGCCTCAAGGCAGAACCTTCATTTTTTTCTCCGCTTGTACATTTGAGAAGAAAGCCGTTCAAGGGTCAGCGATTGGATCATTATATTTCTATCGCAGAGTTCATGAGCATGAACTTAGTCTGACTGAGTGTTCATTTTATCAATGACAAGCGAAAAATGAAGACACGATCCGAGTTTAACTCAGTCTGGTGTACGTAAAGAGTTTGAGGCACTGCCGGACACTGAAAATCAGATAAATGACTGACTTTCACCCTCAACTTTAATAACTTTAAAAATTGGAAGTCTAAACTTTATTGGAATGTCGTTAATTGCTGATTCAAAGATTTGTAGTAGCCCCAAGGTAAGACTGACCATATACTGTTCTTTTTGCTCTAAAAACTGTATACATCCTATTAAAAGACTACGTTCTATGCTCCAGGAATCTTGCTAGACTTTGTTAGGGTTTTCCTAGAGATAGGGCTAATTTGGGTCATTATATCTTGCCGCGATAGTACAATAGTTTGTTTAGTTAATCACAGCCTATTCCTAATTGCTTTAACAGCTGGCACTTTTATGCTGTCTGTCTAAAGATAGTACCTTTATAGTATCGTGTAGTTAACGTTTGGGAGGTTTAGTAACGGAATGAAGGCCTTGCAGTGTTTGGCTGAAGGTCGAAATGAAACGTGGAGCGAGGCGCTCGTCATGTTCGTTACTTGTAGATTCCCGACCGGCGTATTGTGGGCCGTCGAGCCAAGTTAAACACTACGACAGACTCCAAACAGTGGTATTCCCCTCACAGCTGAATACCGAAAGAAAAGACTAATATTACGCATTAGATTTCCTTTCCTTTTGTTTTCACTTTGGTTATATTTTCAAGAGTACTGTAGCTAGAAAGGAATACCATTTTGCAATATGAAGAGACGCTAGGTTTTGAGGTATTCATAATCAGTATTAAGTTCTCTGACAAGCACGGCAATCTGTCTTTGAAAGAACCGACCGGAGACAGATTTCAACGCAAATTCTGAACCACGCGATATTAACCTGATGTTTTTGAACACAACTATTAAAACAAATCCAAAAAGCGCGCGTTCTGAGCACTTGAGTTTAAGACTAACATAAGGTTCAGATCTAGTGGTGTGAAATATGGAGTGAAATACAGGGCGAACGCTGTTGACCTTTCAAGTGCTTCGGTAAATGATCTCTTGCAATATTTCAGCTCACACCCTTGAATCTAATCGGAGAATCTGCCAAGCTTGAGACAGTGGAGTCCAGAGTATCTTAATGGTCGAGTAACATGGCAGGTTTCTTGCACTTTCGATATCAAACTATCAATCGTGCAAATAAGTCAAGAAACGATGTAGTAAATTGAATTAAAAATTCTGAGAAGATCAATGAAACAGGATACTAATCGCTTGCAGGCACTTGGTCCATTCTTTTCGATATCTTGCAAACGTAGCCACACACTGTGATCCTTTGGGCGATTTCCGAAGCATCGTTTTGCTTCCGAAATTTTACTTTACTTGACAGTCCTTACAGACCGCATCCTCGGGCTACGGGTGAAGACAGATAGACCCTGTCGCGGCTTTTTTTGAGTGCTTGTCACCTTGTCTTGCCGAAACTGTTTATAAATATCACATTTATTGCCAATTACGTGAGATAAGACTATCCATTAATTAAATTTAAAGTATCCCGTGTAGTTTGCCTTCTGATTGGCTTAAGAGGAAAACTATATGCATTTTAATTAGTCTGTGACCGTCCGGTGGAAAGTCGATAGCGGTGTTTACTCAAGTACAAAGGTGACATACATTTATGGTTCTTTTCGTTAGTTGACGTCGATCCGCGTGAACGTAACGCACAGACAAAAACCGATCCCCACCGCCTCTGCTTGGAGTCGTAATAAGTCGAGGTCTCGGCGTTAGTGTCGTTTTTGGAACGTTTTAAAGCTGGACACCAACATTGTTAGGAGACAAGAGAAAGGACTACTCACCATGGGTCTTCCACGATTACAGGATAATGCGGGAGATAATCAACAGAAAAAGAAGTACAAGAAGCAGAACAGCGGAAATAGAATTCGTAGGGGAAGCGGTAAAAATGACCAACGCACTATAGCGAACGTGCGAGAGAGACAGAGAACGCAAGCACTGAACGATGCATTTCACAAACTAAGAAAGATCATTCCTACACTACCATCAGATAAACTTTCTAAGATTCAGACTCTACGTCTTGCCGCACGCTATATTGATTTCTTGTGTCAAGTCCTTGGAAACAACGAGAAGCATCCAGGATCTGCGTTGAGTTCTTCTTTTATTGCTCACGAGCGGCTCTCCTACGCGTTTAGTGTTTGGAGAATGGAAGGAGCGTGGTTTCAGCAGCAGTGACGAAAGAGAGCAAGTCTGGTAGCACAGGACAATCAGAGAAAAGTTAACGTGCTTGACTATTTTACTCCCTGTTGAGTTGATGGGCTGTTTCGTTTTAGAATCACAGCAGTTCTACATGCAACGAGGGTCAAGAGAACTTAAATAACGAGTCAGAATAATATAAGGACTGTATGGACTCAATTCATAAATGAATACTGTAAATACGAGTCAGACTGGACAGCCTTTGAAGTGAGAGAATAACAGGCAAAATAAACACTTATTGTTGACTTTGAGCAACGCTGAAAGTTGTGCTTCTAATGTTCAAGTTGAAAATCTGGTTTTCATCTGTTTTGTCTTTAATTTCTCTTGTTAATGAGCTTTGTATTTGAGCACTTGAAATTATCATTTCATCTAATCTAACTTCTTGATATAGCACGCGAAAGATTAAAACGACTTCTCTTCTGAGTCATGTACATATGTAGAAAATTTGATGTTGAAACGTAAAGTATTTTTCGTTTGGAAGTTATCATAGGTGCAACAACTGAAGGTACTCTTAGCTTGTTGTTTAAATCTAGCCTTGTTTTCTTCTTTGTGTTCTCGTTCACACTATTGTAAATACCTCATATGATTTGAGGAATGTGTCGAGACATCGCAAAACTCGTCAGAGAGAGAGAGACCCGGACAACCTAGTTTATTGTCTGCTAATTTTTGGCTGAGTCAATCGAGAGCTCCAGATATGAAAGCATCGAATATGTTAGCTTGTAATCAGATAATTGTCAATAAAAATGKTTGTACTTCGATAATGTGAAAAAAATCTGTGCAGGGCTCGATAATCAATAGGTTAATCAATTGCTCGGTTTTTATGGGACTCATCTTTTAAATTCCAATTTTATTATGGAATGAGGGCCACGGGTTTGTTATCGACTTGTTTGTAACTCAGTGCCCTTGTAAAACAAGGCAAATTATTTATTTTTCATTGGAGTCGAGTTGAAACTTTTTTCTAAGCGGTGCTGCCCTTTTGCTCTAAGCTTTAGTCCTTAGCAAATAGAGTTTCCAGGAAGAGTAGAGCTTTCTTACTTCCCTCTCAAGATAGCCGTGGAGAGCAAAAAAATGTCAATCATGCAAAGGCAAAGTGGAAACCAGCACAAACCAAGACTCTTTTCCATCTTAAAATTATAATTTTTTATAAAACCTTTTGGTAGTTTTAATGAATCGAAATTCCTAAAATAATTTGAGGAAGAAGATTTGGCAGGTACTAATATAGCTTTGGATCTCTTGAGGTACTGTAAATCTTAAAGTTAGTCTTCCACTAGTAAGAATAACTAGAAGTATATGGGGCACAAAGTTTTGAGATAAAGAACACACTGTTTTCAAACTGCAGGAATGACAAACGCTATAGGATCGAAAATTAAACTGCTTTTAGATGCATTTAGTGATTGAGGTGAAAGTTCTTTAACTAGTGCTTGTTTGCACTTTCTTCCTTTATTAAACAGTCAATGACTTCTTACTCAAAGAAGCTGCTTTATTTAAAAAATATATTTGACATAGTTCAAATACTCTTCTGTGCTTTGAAATTAATGATAAAAGTAATATGCTTCTCTATAACGGACAGGTTTTGTTGATTTGTAATTCATATCTGTAGTAACATCCAGTGCTCGCAAATCATGATTCAGATGTCCAAGATTCCGTTATAAAAGCATCAACATAACCTAATAAACATGTCCACCAGGGTAACTCATCATAAACTAATTATTATACTATCATGCACAGGAGTGAACTAAAGTTCTTAGAACCGTGTCTTTGTGCTTCTTTACATTGTATATATGAGTCATGCTGTGATGGACCGAAGTTCCCTAAAGGGACCCACCTATCTTCAACCACACACGGGTGACCAGCATCACTTCTTGTTTTTTCAGGTGATGTTCACTCAATTTTCAATTGTAATGTCAGAGTTGTCTTGTGTGTTTTATCTTATTATCAAAAGACAAACTTTGGTAGTTCCTGTGTTGAGTAAGAATGGTAGTTATTGACCTAAATCAGGGCAGGTTCGTGGTAATTCGTTTTGAAGAGTTTTCACATGGCTCTTGTGATCCTTTGCATGGGACAGGGAAATTGAGGGTCTTTAAAAATGTATTTCTTGGTCTTAAACTAGTGTAGATGATGTAGTTTGGATACACGCTAACAGCAAGGATTAAAACAAGCACCGGTAACTATGAACTGAATACAGGCTTTTATTTTCTCATTTCCAAAGTCAACTGCTCCTGGTAGAAGAGAAGCATTCTTTGAAAACTCATCTGCCAGCTCCACAGAAGATTTGCACCAACAAAGCAATTCAATCAACTGAGTAACTGAATCGCTCTTCAAGGTCTTCCTTTTCTTATATCTTTCTTTCTATCTCCTTCGAAGAAAGAAGAGCATCATCACTCAATTAGAAGTATATTGTGTAAACTTGCCCAGCCTTGAAACTAAGGTGTTCATTACTAGGTGGAACAGCACATCTTCAAGCTCAAAAAAAGACTAGATTTGGGGTCTAAATTATTTTTCAATGCATTTATTCATTAGACAGACCCGTTTATTAGATTAACAAGCGATTTAATTTGCTCCAAAGAAAATGATAAATGGCTTAGAGATGCTGTGAAGTGATACTCAAACCACATGAATGGAAAACACAAACCACAATAAGTGAATCAGTCCACAAGACAGACGGCATTTTATTTGATGTTAAAAAAATAGTGAAAGCTCGATGGCAAGGTGATTTTTAATCAAACCGACTAAACAGGAATAAAAAGCTTAAGTTTTTAGTAGTTAATGCATAAAATGGTTGGTTTTGCGGAGTGAATAAAGCCGACGTGTCCTGAGGCAATGTCAACTAGATCCATGCAATATTGACCATCACTGTTTAATAGAGGGCACCGAACAGAACAGAAGACTATAATCCTGAACGTCAATTTAAGAGACAACTGTTTGTTTTGCTTTGTTTTAGCCGTTTCTATCAAGCCAAACAAACCTGGAACTCTCTAAGGTCGAATAAACTTGAATAAGCAATCCCGTGCCATCCAGAGGTATCGTTTTCAAGCCATGCTCCCGTGGACAGCCATAGTTTCTAATAAGTTTCAAAGATGTGCATAAAACGTCTATCATTGGCTGGCTGCTTGTAAACTAGGATGATACTTTCCGCTTACACACCAAAAACTGACTTCTTTCCACAGTTTGGTAGTACTTAAAATGTAATCTAGCAAGCTGGTTAAGGGAGACATCTGCCAAATGCATATACGTTGTAGGTTCATAGCGGCGTTGTCTTTGCTGGGCTTGGGAATCTAAGGAATGCTGTTCTTTAATGTAACACTAAGACCCAAGAATGGTTCAGTAGAATTGAACTCTAGAGTTATCTCCAGTTTTTTTGGAATATAAAATCCCTTACACTTTAAGTTTCGACTGAAGATTTTGAAAAAGTTATTACATTGGACTTGGTTTTCCTTTGCGGCATAATTGCACAACAATCCATGCAGACATCCATGAAGGCATATTCCATTTAATGGGGAAACTCAAGAAGCCATTATCAGCTCGGATCTGTTTATCTAGCTCATAGAGTGAACTCACGTCCATTTTCGTTATTCCTTTATGTTTGTTTAGCTTTATTTGTTTTGTTTTCTTTGAGCTTCTCTTGATAAATCTATCATGTTGGCTTTTGACTTTGATTTATTTGCAATTAATTTTGCACGAGGACACGTGCTTTTCGAGACAAATAGCATTACAAGAAACCATTTAATTTTTCCTCAATGCTCAGCATTCAGACCAAATTAAGTCATCCATACTGCCTCTTATCAAATATGTCGTTTTATCGGTTTAACTTGTGATCCAAACTTAATGCATTTTATTAACCTGTTGCTGTAATCTTTGTAGCTATCGTGATGACATAGAAAACATTCTTCGTGAAGCTTTTGATTGTTTTGCAGAAACAGCTCAACACCATAAAGGTTTCTTCAACGACAAAGACACAATAGGTTCAGTAAGTGAAATTTTTCCCCAAATACTTATTACACACGCTGTAATGAAAAATAATATTATTTTTTTCAATTTGAATTTTTCTAACAACCACAATCAATTCTGTAGAAGTGTTTTGAACATTACAGCCCGTGTTATAGAACAAGAACAAAATTCAATGATTTTTATTTTCCAAAGGAAAAGATTATTTCACTGATTTCTTTCCGTACTACGTGGTTGCCGTGAATTAACCCATCATTTTTAAAATTTATAATTTCGGCATTATTTTAGGAATTAGTTATTATAAAATGGTGTTGAAGTGTAATTCTAATTCGTAGTAAGAATGAAATAGTGGTATCAACTTTTACTGAGAATGCATATGCTGCATGCACATAGTTTTGGTCTTTTCATTTTGTCTGATGCACAATACTAGTCAGAATCATTCTTTTTCCTAGCTGTTTGCAGTAAAGACAGATTTCGTGGCTTTGCAGACACACACCCTGCATCAACATGTACTTGACTGGCTGGCTGAAGGATGGATTGGAAATAAATTGATTTTTAAATCAACTGTGTTTTAAAATACATAATAAAAGTCTAACAACTTTAAGAAGCAACTTTTTTATTTTTCAATTTATGAATATGTTCTTATTTTACTGACTGTGCATGGCTAGTGTTTGTAGTCATTCTATGTTATATGTTTTAACATATAATATTTATCAGTTTTAATAAAAGTTTTAACATTTATTTTTTCTTTTAAAAAAGTTATGCTAGAGTTCTTTGATTTTTGATCCCTGCATCTCAAAATAGATTATATTTTTTCAATTATATTACTATGGTAATATTTTGCTTTCTGAGAATATGCTGCATGCCCAAACTTATTTCTTTTATTTTAAACAAGCCTTAGGTTACCCAGGTCAGTGGAATATTTTTCTAAACATTCAACGCTTATAAATCACTTTCAAAAACTTCCCCATCAATATGTTCTTGGCTTCAAGACTCAAGCCTAAGATGAGCACGAGTTTTTACTTATACTTTAATTACTAGGACAAGGATTAAGGCTATTAGGAAAATAAGTACAAATACAAGCTAAGCTAAGTCAAGCTAAGTTAAGTCCACAACAGGACTTAAGTCTCATGTCTGTAATCTAAGTGAACTAATCGTTGCTAAGACTATACAGTTCTCAGGAGATTCAGTGCAAAGATTACTAAATAGTACTAAAGTACACACCTTGACGATATTTTCTAAAAATTCTAACTTTTTTCTTCTCTTTTCCATTCACTTTTTTATAAGTGAAACAATAGAGTGTTGTTGTTGTAATTAGCCACTTTTATTCACTTTTATCCTTATTGAATGATGTAGAAATGCTGAACTGAGAAAATGGAAATTTTTCCCCAAAAAGGGATTATCAAGTTTACTAAAGAAAAAGTGCAAAACAACTTTACTAACTCATTGATTTTTTTCTTAATATTTCTTTATTTTCTTTTTCCTTTCCTTTTTCTGTCTTTCTTATTAATTTTATTGATTATCGTTTAATTTATGTTTTAAAGGTATCTTTGGATACACCGGCCCAAACATACCAACTCACAATGCAAAGCATACAACATTTCAACATCCATTAATCTCATGCTTATTTCATAATAACAAGAGTCCAGCATGGTCTCCTTCATGGGTGTGTCTTACATGAATCGATTCACAGTTGGATCAGAGTTGTTCGTGATGGAGGGAGTTTAAAGGAAATAGGATTTCCCGATAAATACAATGCTACTTAGCTGATAATTACTGGTTTTTATAAATTCCGACTCCAAACAATAATCACGCGACCTTGGCTCTGTTCTCTCACATATGAAAGCACAGATAGATACGACAGATAGGACATGTCTAAGTCAGTTTACCATATGGTATTCGATTTACGCTAGCTTTATCTTCTAACGTGCGGGATGATCTTAATACTTGATCGTAAATGTCTTTCTAAGATAGCAGTTCATAGCTAACACCTTTTGCACGTTAGAGTGCATACCATATATTCGTGAAAAAGTTAACTAACAAAATTGTGCAAATTAGTACAAAGTTTCGTAGGTCTACGATCTACTGAGGTATACATAACTTACTAATTTGTGCAAATTTTTGTGTGATTTTTTACAAAAATTTTCACGGATTTATGGTATGCACTTAACGGGATGGTTGTAATTAAGCCGCATGCATTTCTTATCCTGTTTAAATCATGTATGTAAACGTCGTGTTTTGTGAAGGACGGCTAAGTACTGAGTTAATTCCTAATCAGCTTTACGAATCGTTTATCATTTTGTCTTTTAATTATTTGGTTTACGAACCAATTCTTTTGGAAGTTGGTATATAGAACCCATGCAGCAATCTCGAGAGCAGCTCAATTCGGAGGACAAAACAAAAGATGTTTCAATTCTACTGTCTTGTCCTCCAAGTTGTGCTTCATTGGGAATACGCTGTAAGGGTTCTATATACTCAATCATATAAGAGAGTGATTCTGCTTTGTCCTCCAAGTTGAGCAAAGAAGGGGGTCTATACTCTCATTCACAGGAGAGTCAGATTCTATTGTTTTGTCCTCCAAGTTGAGCATCATTGGGATTTGCTGCAAAAAATGGGATCTGTATTTTATGCCATCGACCCGTTAAACAAATCCATAATGTTGTGCGAATCAGGAGCGATAAACTTTAATGAAAAAACTAACAACAACTGAGAGAGTGAATATTAACAAGCGTAGTGTAAAATGAAATTTATCTTGAATTTTTAAAATACATACTTCAGTGTGAAGATAGGTTTTTTTTTTAACATTATTTTGGACCGATTGATAATTATGATCAGACTACCCAATACAGCCAACAGGGTGAACATCAATGATCATTAATGATATTCTTATCTTTCTTTTGCGTGATATATATGCACACATGTTGCGCTTAACTTTCTTTATAGGTCTAATTAGTCTKGGTGCAATATTTTCCCAATACAGACCATATGTCATTCCCAAGAGTATCATTTCTTTGTCTAACGGTTGCGCATGAGAAGACCTGTGAATATGGATACAACTCAAACAAAAAAACTTATTTTCGAGAAGGTGCGAAAACATGGGAAAACAATGCAACATAACGAATTAGATCTATTCTTGCAAAACAATTTACTGTTATATATATAACCGATTCAACTTCGTTTAGGTTTTATTCAAACGATCGCGAAGTTTTGATGGAACATCAGTTTGTCAATTGAAAACTGTTATTATAAATCGTTTGTTTATTTTTGTTATTATTTGTAAATTCTGCTCTTTGTTTGCCTTGCACCAATCATATATACAAACTATGTCAATGTACCGATAATGAATTTAAACAAATCTAGAATCATCTACATTAAGATCAGCATTTTTATCACTGTTGTGCATTTGACAAGAACGACTCGACACTCCTACGCTCTATCAGAACCACACATTCGATTGGCTGAGACCCGGGAATAAGAGATTTTCAAAGGCATTTTTTGTGTTTTCACACTCGCGTTCACAAGATTCTCTCATCGGTTGGCACTCAACTCTGTAAAATAAAAGCTAGCGCGCGACTCATTTTTCTATAGTTCGACTTGGCTTAAGTTAAGAACTGGTTGAAACAGTAGCTATATTATCCCCATCCAAACGAATAACAATTAAACTTCGTTTTTGATTTTATCAAAATAATGTTAACATTTAGCAACCACTGTGAAGCTTCAAGGATAAACCAGTGCACTAAATTTTTAAAAATCAAAAAAGGATATTTAAAACTGAAACTAAATGATATGTTCTTCTTACAACTCAGATAATTGTTGTTCTTATGACAAATATTTCCGTTCTCCATTCAAGCTAGGCTACGATCCATTGTCAATTACTGAATAAAAACTTTCAAGTTGACTACAACGACCACACAATGGGTTTTTTCGGGAGGTTTGTGCTGAACCAAAGCAGTCTTTTCCTTCCATCAACTTTCCCTTATGTTTATGCATAGGAAATCGCACGATCTCGAGTACAATTCGGGATTTATAGGTACGAGTGATGTTTCAGTGAAAATTTTCAAAATAACCTTTAGGCAAGTCCAATTTGAGAACTTTCAAAACGTCACGAGTATATATAAATTTCGAATTGTACGAGAAGATTGTGCGATTTTTTATTTAAAATACACTCAACCGAAATTGAGCAACTTAATTGGGACTCTAAAGAGTATAATTTGAAATTTAATTGCACTCTTCTTGTCCAATCAGAATCGAGTAATTTTGTTGAGTGTATTATAAATTAGCAAGAACGAACCTGGAATAGACTTAATTTACAAATAAAAAGTCACAAGATATTTAGGAACCTTTTGTACCAGTTGATGGCGCATTAAGACAATTCTTTTTTGAGCTCTTTTTAAGGTGTTCAACTAGCATGGGTTCTGATATCATTCTGTGTGGTGTCTGTATGTAAAGACAATGCTTCCCACGTACAATTATTTGTTGAGCTCTTTTTAAGGTGTTCAAGTAGCATGGGTTCTGAGTTCATTCTGTGTGGTGTCTGTATAGTCTAAATACAATATAAACAGCTACCCGCGTCCCAGTTTCATTATAATCCCATCAACCATATTTGTAGGTGGTACAACATTGAGGTGAAATATAATTTTCGATTTTCACGAGGTACAATTTCCATGACTAGAGAGAGTATTACATTAACACTAGGTCATCTATTTAGCTAGATTTTTAACATTAGGAAAATCCATTAGGAAATAGTCGACTTTCAGGCATATCAAGTCTCCTGTGAGTTCATGAAAAGTATGCAGAGTGCATGGATTTCGTGTCCATGCTTGAAGCAAACCGCACCTGTTTTTTGAGTTAAGGCCTGTCAGCTGGACCTAAATTCTTGCGGGAAGCTTATCAAATTATTAGAATGAGACGCGTTGACTTTGAACATCGCTAACATGCCTTCAGGTAGAACGAATCACAAAAGAAACAAATGGGGGATTTCTTGATTGCATACCACGTTTCTGGAGACAGTAAACTGCGTATCGTTGGAAGCTACGCACTGTGAATATTGCAGCAGTTGTGTGGGGCTTGGCTATCGACAATTGTCTTTAGAGAAGAGAAGAGAAGAGAAGAAAAGAGAAGAGAAGAGAAGAAAAGAGAAGAGAAGAGA